TAAGTGGTGGGAAGGTGGCAGGTAGAAGCTAACGCTGAACGCCCCTTAGCTCTGCTCGTAAATCTGTGTGCAGCCACTGGCACAGAGCACCAATCTCTGCTGGAGCCTCTAGAGCCTTGCTACAAAGCAGACAACAACAAAACACGACGCTTCAGATGCCTCGTCTTTGATAGTACAAACACAATGGTAAAATGAGAACAAGAAATTATGAAATGAAGCAATTTTCATTTGTATAAATATGGAGACATATGTGGCAACATATTTTTATACACACATGTACATGAGTGTTTCCAGTTATTACTTCTTTTTAAAAATATGTTTAAAACCCACAAAGATTTAACAAAACTTAACATTGAATGCAAAAGAAGGTGGAAGGAGCCTCGTGTAGGAGGCTATAAACTAAAACAACCGAGACTTCATGAGACAGGGGACATCCTCACTCGTGAACAGTATTAAAACACCAACTTTATTCAGGAATACAGAATACATTTTTGAAGATTTCCAGTTTACAAAAGTTTAAGACAAGGCTGGGTTTCAAAATACAACCTCCTTTAAAGCTTTTATGTAACACCTCCACTTCAAGTTGACAAACCCCCTCAAATCAGGAAAAAAAAAAAAAAAAAGGACAAATGAAGGCCACAGTCCTGTACTAGGATACACTCAGGCAGAACCCAGCACAGTATTGAAATTCTTTCTGCAGTCCATATTTTAGTCCACGGTGCAATATAGCCTTGTGTTAATAAAAAATATTTCAGATCTCGTATGAACTGCAAGAAGGGCACTTGTTTTACCATTTTAGTTCCAGACATTATATGCAAAGTAGCTTCTGATGAGCAACAGTTAAAAACAGTACTTGCCATCTGATCACCATGTTAAAAACACAGCACTAAATTCTTCCTTCATTTATACAATTTTAAATATTCATTAAAAATTAAATTCAGAATCAGTGTCCCTCTATCCTTTTCATCGTTAATAGTTTTTCTTATCTACTAAAACCATTTGTCTTTCCTAAGATGTTTAAAAAGTAAAGCGCACAAGATTAACAAGCTGCAGCATTAATTAAAATGAGAGTCATCATCTCTTTCCTCCACCCAGCTTCTAAATCTATCACAAGGGCCCTATTAGCTGTATCAAAGTGAAGTGGTGTAAATAAAACTGATTTGACTTAAAAGGAGAGGAAGAATGAATGCAGAGTTATTTAAAAATCGCAATGCAGTCAGTGTTGTCATGTATGTCGCTGTAGACAAGAGCCAAGAAAATTATTCACAAGCTCTCTTTTAAAAGCATTACTGCCAGTTTTCCATTCACACAATACCAGAGAGGTAAACTGTAATTTGCCTTACAAGGAACTTCAGATTATTATCAAGCAGATTCACTAATTTTAAATACACAGCACTCTGACTTCAGCAGAGGTTACAGACACTCAAAACTCCTGAAATTTATTTGTTTATTTTTAAATAACCCAAATCTTACTGCCAACAGGCTAATCCACATTCCTTCATTTACCTCAAGTAGTCATTTCTTCAAATTGTTTTGTTGGAATCAAATACATTAATACCTGCACTGAGGAGAACTACTCATTACAGTGGTCACCATTCAATACAGATGTGGAATCAGAATTTGGCTCTGGAAGAAAACTGTAATTGGTTTTACTTTTGTAAGAGTAAGTCTTTGAAATAACATCTATTTGTTTAAATATTAAGTATAAAGCTAAGCTCCTGGAAGACTGACCTCAAACTAAAAGGTTAAGAGCAATTGCAAACAATAGAATGATCAATTCCAATTTTACTGGCACTGAAAATAAGTCCTACCACATGGTATTTCATGAACATTTAACTTCAGTCTTAGAAGCTGCAGGATTTTCAATGAAATATTTAATTTCATCAGCACAGTCGTTGCTACCATGCTTTCCCAAAGATTCCACTGAATAATGCAGTATAACGCTGTATTAACACTACTAGAAGTGACACGTTATAAACAATTTCTGTGTGATACTAACAGCAATTTCCAAAGAAACCAGCTAGCAAATCTGTTCTACAAACCAGAAAACTGGAGTAAGATGAACACACACCCCCCTTCCTTAAACGTTTCTGCATGTCTTTTTGGAACAAGATACTGAACTTCTGCACTCCTCAGAGTTCAGTGGTCCCCATAAGTAACAACAAAGAGGAAGACAAGACTTGTTTCTCTTTTTGGATCTCTAGACAATGATATGTAACAACACCTAGAAATGTAGTTAACAGCCTCCCAAACCAACATTAAATCAGAAAGGCACAATCTCCTTTTGTAACTCCTGTTCCCCAAAACTAAAAGATTCCTATACAAAGATAAATACACCCTTAGCTGGAAGGGAAAATGTCACACCATTTAGAATGTTTTTTTCCTTCTTTTTTTTTGTAAAGTCCAAATGGATTATCTTAATGCAAAAGTTACACGAATATATACAACCTGAAAGAGTATCTTTTTTTTTAATATATATATATATGTACATATATGACAGTGACTGACAGAGAAGGCAAAAGAAGCAGGCTGTGTTTTCTCTTTTCTTTCTTCTGAGCAATGCAAGGCAATGTTTTTCAGATGCCATAGTCAAACAATATTTGGTTTGCCTGCACCCTGGTGTCTTAGAATACAGGTGGTGAAACGCAGTCCCCCGTGGAGGCTTGCGTGAGGGATACGTGCCATGTAAGTTACACCAGACACAATGATTTAGTTTCACTAATGCAGCCTTAGGCAAACTTAAAATTAAAAAGATGTCTAATTCTAATGAAACTACTACAAACTCCTCAACAGTATGTTTTATAGTCCAATACAATGTTTTAAAAACTGCAACAGAAAAACATTATAGCTAATTCTGATACAGCATTACATAGCTCTCTTACAGAGGCCGAGCAGAACCTTAACGAAAGGCAAGAGGGACAGCACGGCCCAGAGCTCACAGGAGACACTCCTGCACCCACCTTTACTATTAACTCGGCTATGTACCTGAGTTTAACCTACCTGTAAAATAGAGAATAACTGTCTGCTATGTGACAATGACAACAGTCTACCTATCAAGTCAGACGGAGTCATTAATTAGTCAAGTCCTGCTTTGTGAAGGACAGCATAATTACAGTGCTTGAGCTCGCAGCAAGGATGAGATCTGACCCAATCTTTTATGCTGCTTTACAGGGACCTAGGAGCATCTTCACCAATGCACTTTAAGACAGGCTGCCTAGGCCTGTAATGAAAGGCTGCCATTAATCTGCTTCCAAAGTCAGCCAAGCCCAACAGCATTAGAATTCTCCAGTGCTCCCCGCCGCGTCATCTCAGTCCTGGAATGACCTGTGCTTGTAAATTCATCTGGCCCCTGCCTCTTACATACCACGGCAGTAGACTCCAGAGCTGGAAATGAAAAAAAAAAAAGACCAAAAAAAAAATACAGGTGTATGTGTGGGAACTGAGACTGAACTTGAGTCATTCCCCTACCTACAATCAAGCTCAAAAATTCTTGGGTTCTGAGCATATAACCTTTGGGCGAAAGAAGTTACCTTAGAAAGATGGGGAAGAAGAAAGCAGAAGGTGTGGGCAGTCAGCTTCCTTCATTTCCATTAAACAGCAAAGTCTGTTTAAGGACACTGTTCATTATGTAGAAGGAGAGGAAAATGTGTCTGATAGACAAATATAAATAATTTTTCAAGGCCAATTTCCCTCTGGACAAGAGGAAGACACTGCATTGCTTTCTGTATACTGAGCACAAGCACAGCACTGCAGTGGCATTTAAATTCACAGCTTACCTTCCCTCTTGCCACTCTGAATACCTTTACCTCTGAGATGCTTTCACACAGGTGATTCAACACTGTGCACTGAAACACACTTCACAGGAGACCATTCCAAGAGTTAGGACAAACCAGACAGAAATAATTCTGGTTTTCTGCAGAAGCTAAGATTTCAACCAAACGAACACAAATAATGGCAAACTCCATAAAAAACAGTGAGAGTATCGTAAGTGAAACTGATATTTTAGAGTTCTACTGGTGCAGTAGAACTAAACCTATGCAATACACTACTTGCATACATACACACAGTATTAAACACGTGTATCCACGCATGTACGTATACATGCTGTAGACAGGGCCAACAAGCCCAACACCTTTCACTACACGACCTGCTTCCAGTTATAAAACTAGTCATTCATACTAAAGCTTTCTGTGATCGGTGTTTGCCTCAGGCTGGTTTTGGTGTTCAAGATTTAGCTGAAACAGTTTGGTTTTTTTTTTGTTGGGGGCTTTTTGTTTTGTTGTGTCTTTTATTTAAGAAGGAACACATGGAGTGATGTTGTTTTGCCACACGTGAAAAGAAGTCTTGTGCTGTTTTGTTGAGAAGCTTCAGTGCCTCTATACTCAGCCTTGAAGTTTGACGGATAAGCCAACCTTTGTTGTGTTCCTGAGAAAACCCATGCAAATTTGGCCTAGAGATTAGCATCTGGGAAAAAACCCTCATTTGCTCAGTTAGAGTTGTTGCATCCTCACAAGCTTAAACTTTAAAAATTACATTCACAGTGAGAATGTTCCAGGCCATGAGGAGAAGGGTCAAGTAGGACATTTTCTGCAATTTGAGCACTGCCAGTGAGCTAGCATTGGGCACCAGACCTCCAAGCAGAAAGACTACATCTGATGGGCTTCAGTGACCACCAGCTGGCACCAGGCAGTAAGAAGAAAGAGCTCACACGTCGACAGGACAGGAGGCAGTCCAAAACCAAAAGTACTTCTGGCACAGTTTTTGTGTGCAACATCTGTATATATTATACATGCACATATATACATTCATATACAGTAAATAGTCCAAGAAATACGTCACGTCAGTTCTCTGACACAGCACTGATGTTGCTCTTACTAGTCTGAACGGGAACTTGCTCGCAGCAATATTGCGGAAAGCTGATGTGACTCTAGGTTTAGCTCTCACATCTCTGTCTTTGATGAGCCCAAAATGCTGAATTCAAATATTAACTGAGTGTGGATTCAAATCAAGTCATCATTCAGGCACATGTCCCCCTGAAAACTATTAGCCACAGCAGATTAACCCACATGGACTCAAAAAAGTAAATGCCTTCCTGCCCATCCCATATACCGGAGCGGTTACACTTCTCTTTCAGCGATGTGGTTGACCAGAGAATCGCTTTGATCTGCTGTCCTCTCAAGAAGAGTTCTGTGGCCATCCATGCTGTCATGGATGTCTCTTGTCCAACTGTCGGCTGTGCCCAGAGGGCTTCCTGCCATCGGGGTGTCTGTGCTCACCAGGCTTCCCGTCCGAGATCGGTAAGGAGGAAGATCTGGCTGATTAGGGGATTCAGAACAATAAGGTGGTGGAGGAAGGTCAAACCAAGGTGGTCTGCTGTAAGATACACAACATAGTAAGAGGTTACTGAAAACAGTGGTATGGAAGAAAGTACATAGTTTTCCAATAATGAAAAAAACCAAACAGTATTTCTTAGCTTTTCCATGATGACATCTATCAGGAGATCTCAAACAGACCTGCTTACATTATTCAGGTCATTCCAAAACATCCACGCCACCACTGGGCACCAAGGTTTCTGGTCAAGATGCAACATAGCTAATTACATCCTGCTTAATACTCTACACTCCGATTTTCATGGGTGTGCACTTCCAACAAATCTCAGCTTATCCTCAAAGACGGCTGCAAGAGGTAAGAATTTTTCCTGTGTAACATTTACACAACCTGAGAAAGCCCTTTAAAAGAAATAAGGTATGTAGTGGATTTACACCTATGGATAATGCTGTGAGCACAAGAAAGCTCTGAGGAAACCTCCCATTAAGTGACAGAGATAAATGGCTTACAGTCTACAAATAAATAACGAACTGAATTCTCCACATGACAAATCACTTCTGCTGTCATGGTATCACATGCAGAGCAACTGCTAAGCAGGCACAGACGAGATGAGTACTGGATTCAGGAAAACTGTTTTTTGGTTCTGATAGTAAACAATTAAAGGGACTGAAGGGTTTAGCAGATTTATAACAGGTCCTGGGAGCAATTAGCTCTGAAATTGCTGATGGTTTGTATCAGCTCAGGTGAGAAGTGATTACAATCTGGACAGCTGCTTATTTAGTTGTCCTTACTAATGAAAAGATAATCATTATTATGAATGTCAACATTAAGACAAGGGAGCTGCTGCCAAATGCAGCAGAGAATAGGAATGTAAATGATTATACTATCATTCTTAGATCCCAGAGTTCATACTAAAAAATACCGACAGGGTGACAGTGAACAATCTGGATCATTAGAGTTCATACCGTGCCCTTTTTACGTACAGAGAATGTCAGTCTAGGAGTTTTGTTTGGAAAGACTTTACAGACAGAGGTTAAAACAAAGGTTAATTGTCTACAAATAAAACCAGTGTCATAACTACAAAAACGTCATAACCCAAACCACACCCAGCCACAAAACTTCAAAGCGCTTTCAGCTATTTAAAATAAGAACTGCGCTTTCCGTTTCAGAGTCCTGTTCTTTTCTTCTATTGCTAAAGGGAAAGTAGTGCAGAGCAGAGGGACCATAAAATTTCTTTATGCAAGAATTGAAGACGTCTCATCTCTATATACACATCACACATGACCAGGGTAATTTTTTTAAAAATAGTGTGACCTAGCTGTTTTTTGGCAAAACTCCAAACGTAATTTTCATGTTTTGATTCCAGAGTGGCACAGGATATCACTACTAGACAAGAGATACATTTCTTTGCCTTCTCCTGCCATCCTCAAAGTCTCTACTACCAACCACAGGTGCTAAGAGAGCACGACTTAAGTTTGCCTTAAATCCCTTTAATACCAGTAAACAGCAAGGGGACCTGAGGACCATGAATTTTTCATATGCAGGCGGAGCTCAGATTTGCCCTAATTTGGCCCTATGCACGTGACCAAACTGCAGCGCTGTGCTTCTGTCAAAAGCAGTGATAAGGATAAATGGGGAGTGGAAGCACAGATTAACAGAGCTGCAAGCAATAGTGTGAAACTTTGGTGAGCACAGAATTAGCTCCTTCCCCTACATACCTTTGGTCGAGCACAGCCTCTGAATAGGATGGTGGAGAGTCCAGGTCCACTGGCCTATGGTAGGCCTGGTTGGACATGTACTGGATCCCGTTGTTGACGTTGTAGGTGACGCTGCAGTGGTGCGGGTGATCGAGGACCACCAGCCGGGACAGCAGGACAGGGTGCTGCAGTCGATGCACTGGCAGGGTCATGAGATTGTTGCGTTTCCGTTGGTGATGCAGGACTAAGGCAAGAAAGGCCACCACAAGTACAAAAATGACAGAGCTACCAATTATAGCGTAGGTAATACTAGGGTAGTAAAGCAGCTGATTTTCTGAGGTCACGTAATCTTGGCCGCTGCCGGCCTCTGCAAGACAAAAGGAAAAGGAAGCCTGAGATTTGTTTCAATATAAAACTGCTCTTAACCTGTGCTGTGGGGTCTGCTAACGCATGGTGTGACAAAAGCAAGTTTTTCTTTTTTCTTTGAATTGTGGAAAATTAGCTTATTAAAAGCATATGCATGCAAATCAGAGATTGGCTGACTACCACTCAGTCCATCCTCACCCGCGGTAAGTGCCAGCAGATAAACCACAAGGCAGACACAAACTGGGAAAGAGGAAAATACACACTGTGTAGTAGGATGCATGTGCACCATCATGGGAGTATCTCCCCCATCCCTACCTATCAGTCACAACTTTTTATTTCCAGAGGTGAGACAGCCAGTTCCGAGGCATAAGCACAGTACTTCAGCTGTACCCAGCAAAGCACACTAGAATCAGAGATGTAAAAGGCCTCATCTTTACTTTTAATGATAACTTACAGTGCAGTCAAAGTTTACATGGAGTTTATCAAAAAAGGCAGCAACTACATCCTGTGATCCACAGATCTAACAGTCCAAAAGAGGTACAGGGGAAAAATATAGATAGCTGCTCAGTAGAGGGTGGTTAGTTGGATGTTTGTGATCAGGAGACCTCCTGCTGGAAAAAAATTGAAAAAAAGAAAGGGTGTTGGAACAGCAAAAACAGCGATGTAAGTCTGGTAGGTGTGATACCAGTAAGAGATGTGAAAGTCTAAAAGCAAAGAGTGCCGTGAAAGAAGTGAATGGTAAAAACAAAACCAAACCCCCAAACCAACCAAAAAAAACAGGTTAGGATAGAACAAGATGAGGAAAAGAAAAACATGAGCTGCACTGAGGCCAGAAAAGATCACATAAGTGAGCTTCAATTTGAGATGGAAATGGTAAAGGGAATGGAAATGGTCACTGAGTGGCAGGGAGCAGGAGCAGAAGCACGACCCTAAACAGCAGAATTAGAGGGATGATGAGAAGAGATGAAAAGACCAGATCAAAAAAGGTATTCCAGATACCATATAGCATATGTTTTATTTGCAGGAGGCACTGAGGAATCGGCAGTTACCGAGAATTGTAAGAGAAGTTACAGTTGGATTTGTTCGGAGTCATGATACAGGAGAAGGAATTCCTGCTTGGGCTCTGAGCCCAGAGAAGCAAAAAGTTAATGGAATAATGACTTTGGACAACATCTGAACAGATCTTGAACTGCATGCAAATCTTATGAGAAAACACAATAAAAGGCAACAAAATGCAAAGGAGGAAAGAGGCTCCGAGAAGCAAAATGGCATAAACACACTCATGCGACTCTGCCACACTTGAGGCCAGTGCTAGCACTGCAGAACTGTGTTCCCCCGCCTCCATTTCAGCCCCATGTTCACAAGGTCATACAGCCTTTGAGTACTGTTTTCTTTTTTGGGGGAGAATTTCTATTTCTGTGCAGGCTGTAACTCCTATAGCCTCAAAAAGAAAACTACTATTCTGACACAAGACATTCATCTACCTCAAGCAAAACAAAAGGCCGAGTAAAAAACAAACAAAACAAACCCAACCCCTTGACCTCCAAAATCCACACAATTACAAGAGCACTATCCATCCAAATTCTTCATTTCCTACTGCAGAAGGCTGGGACAGTAAATCTTAACATACCATTTTCCTTTCTTTCACCTACCAACTAAAACTGCTTTTTGGTCACTCAGAATTGCAACTGAAACACAAATTTCTCTAGCAGCAAAATAATGAAATATATACCAACTGTGTCTGGCATAATAGAAGAGCTTTCTTCAAGCACCCATTGTTCTGCATCAAGATGCTCTGGGTATTTCTCTCACTATTTGATTTTGGTAGTTCACTTCCATGGTTAAACACCAAACCACATTTTCCAGCATCACTAAAAATAACTTATGCATTAGTTAGGTAAGATAATACAACATAAAATGGCTAATCCTTTAAACATCTCCATTTTAACTCATAGATATTTTAGTAAGAAGGGATGAGATGGGAAAGAAGGTACCAGGAAGAAGAGAACATGATTATTGGTCCTGCTACTGACTATGAAAACTACCACTCTTAAATAGATGTTTTACTGATAACGCCACTACAACCACAGACCAGAGCTTTGCAGGCCAGCTGCAAGCCGCACAGTTTTCTTGATACCTAGTGTCACACCTCAGTGAGGATCCTTACTAAATTTATTTCCCTGTGCAACTGTGTTGGAAAGAAAGCAGAAATCATTGTTACCAGTCAACACTAGGTCTCCAGCTCACTCAGTAAAGTGAACAAAGTCTGCATGAAGAATATAAATCAAAACAGAAGGGAGGAAAGGAATTGACATGCATTAGTAATTTTAATTACAGCTCATCACATATTGCTGTGATATTCCCTAAATTCACCAGCTGAGAAATGAATTCATGTCACATATCAGGGACAAGGGCCAGCATAGGGAGTATAGTGACAAGCAGATCATTTTTATGCAAACATCAACAAGTTTATTTGCAAGGAATGATCCATGGATGAATACCACTACCCGCAATTCTTCAGTGCAAGGAAGGTAAATATATTACGACATCCCAGTAAAATACCACAAGACTTTCATCCAACTTGGCTCACTGGTTACAGCACATTGGCATAAGACTGAGAATAGGATGCCTTTGCAGACCTGATGAGACCTAATTAGTTACCATGGGATCATTCTGCAGCAGCACAGTCCCTTCTCTTTATAATCTCCATCTTTTTTAATAAGTGGAAAAATGAGAGAAGTGAATTATATGTCAACTGCTTTTAAAAACTTTTAAGGTTATCCACCTGTTTAGGATAGCATCTCCAAGTCCTGCGCAAAAAGCCTCCATAAATCCAAACAGATTAACCAGATTGCTGAAGAAAAAATATTGTGTCGAAAGTCAGACGGGATCTGATGACCAGCTTTAGGACAGTCTGAAACAAAACATCTATTTTATCTGGTTTTATGATCCTTTTCATACCACAACCACCCACATATCTTGCAGAGATTTTAGGTCAATTTGCAGTTAATGTGCCGTTTTGGAGCTTTGGGATTACTGTGGCTAATGAAACAGCATTTGTTTACCTGTAACTCTCTATTCCTTTTCAGGTTTTTAGATCTGTTGCTTGCATTCCAATTTAGTTCACTGTATCTCTGAGAACAAGAGCAAGCTAAGAGCATGCCTACACCAGGGACTACAGGTCTGTGTACAGATCTCTGAACCAGAAGTATAGCTGTGAAGGTGCTGGTTTGAATAGTGCTATCTGGTGCAGCCTTTGAACTGGCCAACACAGCAATATGGCTTTTGGGGTCTGAATTAGCATCTCCATCAGTTCAGCTAGTTCTAGCCTGTGTGTCTCTAACATGGAGCTGCACCGAGGAGTAGAGATACATCCTGTGAAGATGAAAGAATTTGGTTTATCTGTCAAGTGCTCCTTCTTGTGCCCTGGGCAGCGTTGAGTACTTTGCATGGAGACACTCTCTCTCCCCATGTGAAGAATCCCGCTCCCTAAACACACATCGTCTTTATACCTTTACAGGAACAGACATGGAGCGCACCGTATCTCTGAGACAGAGTTCTGCCTGGGAAGGTTCAGCTATAATTGAAACAAAGTCGTCTTCCACCACCATAACAACCTTATTCTTGCCTTACAGGTGGGTTTTCTGGGTCAAGAAGACACAAACTTAAGGTCCCCTAGCAAAACACACTTGCAAGTGAAGTCCAGTGGTATTTTGCTTCTGCTGTGGTGTAGTTTAAACCAAGAAAGACCAACCTCCATTTAACCTCCTTTTTCTAGCACAGTCAGTAAACCCAAACCCACAAAAGAGGCTCAGGTAACATTAGTTTCATATCAGCACTGCTTGGCTTGTAGCCCTAGAGAGGGCACTTCCCATTCAAGGAAAAGAAATGAACTGCCCTTAATGGTATTCCAAAATAATGCTCCAGCAAGAAAACTGCTCTATAGCACAGCTAAAACAAAAGTAGCAGAACTATGAGACAGTTTTGCATACAAGAGACTTTTACATCAAGTTTTTTCTTCATCTTACTGTATATCTGATCATGTTGAAATGAATAACTTCTTGGTAATTCCTTGGTAACATTCTGGGTTTTTTGTAGAGCCAGGTGAGTATACATAGGTGTGGAAAGGAATGACAGGTACCTAGCTGAGACTGCCCGATGATCCTCTATCCATTTTGTGCACACTGTAACAGGGAGAAGGTGAGATATAAGAACACCCAAAAAATCTTAGCTGGACACGCACACTTACTTTAGAGAGAAAAAGCCACAACTCTTTAGTTCTGCTCTAGTAACTTTCAGCAAATGTTTACACATCACAGAAGTCATTGAACTGAATTTCTTGATAATTCAGTCATCTTCTCCCAGAAGAAGCAGGTATTATCCAGGCAGATTTAAAAAGTTCTGCCTGCTCTGCTAGTAAATGCAAATTTACAAAAAAGGCGAGTGGGCAAGCTAATTTAGCTTAAATTCATGGAGTATTTATTCCTTCATGCTTTTTCCCCCCCTTTAAGAAGATCTATGTTTTCTAATCATGCCACATACAAACAGTTTATCAATGCCACGTATGCCTATTAAACCTTATTATCTGGGAAATGCTGAATTCGCAGATTAGAGATTTTTGGAGTGTAAAAAGCTTTGTGAATAATTTAGGAAAAGACTGATAAAGAAAACATAACGGGTTGTGCTCAGAGGGCTATCTTATTGACTGAGAACAAATTTGATGTCTCAAAGTTTTTAAAAAGATCTGAGAGTAACTGCATTAAGTCAGCCAGACACAGGGATGAGGGGCTATTATTTTATCTTTTGCAATCCTCTGCTCAAACCTGGCTTTTCACAATTAGTCAGAGAAAAAGCTTTTGAAATACATAATCTGAGCAGACATCTGTAGCCTTAATGAGCACGAGTCACGGTCCATCTCCAACAAAGACGCTACTGTAACACATTTAAATTCCAGCTGGTTAAAGAGCAGAGCTGCAGCTTGGAATGTTAAAGACGACAAAA